ATATATCCCTATATACAGTGAAAGTCATAATTGAATTCATTTAGATAACTACATGTGAGAAACTAATGATGATTATGATTTAAATAAAACAGGTTTCCCTGTTAAACTTGATCATGTTGATTTTTTCACAGTTCAACAAAATGTTAAAATCATCTGACGGTGTGAAGTCGTCAGCTCTGTACACAGTTTTATTTAAATCTGTTTACAGACTTGTATGTCAAAGGAAAATAGCACTTTATAAATTTTGCACCCCTAAAGCGCTTTTTTATTAACCTTCACTGGAAATGCTCAGACCTAAACATTTGAAAGTCAAGGATGTAAAAAATACGTAGTCACGTTAGGGGCTATATGAATAAATGTAATCTAAGTGTATTAGGCAAATACATATATGGTCAACTTTGCCTATTTTGAACCTTAGTTTCTAAAAGTAATGTCTTGATTCAGCAACAAGAGATTATACTAATGTGTGTTATAATTCCTGTCAGTACCGAATCACTGACTATTCAGCTGATGACTACTTCGGTATTTGCAGTCAACAAAAAGGGGTATCTAATTAGGAAAAAGAAAGAACGGTAGGAATACGAACTGACTGTTATGGTACTAGTACTCCTTCAACAAGTACATACAGCATAAAAAGTTAAATATTACCGTAATATTTTATATTCATTATGTATGGGTTTTTTTTGTAGTTATCTAGATCCGTTCACTTATATTTGTTTTGGAGAGTTTGCGTTGATTTTCAGATATTTTTTTGTTGGAAATTCAGTACAGTTCAGATGAATGGTTTGCAGTCAACCCAGTGCTGTTAAGTAGCTGAAAATAAGTCAATACGTATTATTTTTTACAGGTAAATAACAACAACTATACAGTCTGAACAGAATCTGAATAGATCTCAATTGACTGCAAGCGAATTGTCTTAACAGTACTGAATTTACCGTAGAAAATAGGTCTGAAAATTTGCTGACAGACTGAACATGACTGTTAAAAAATGTATAGTTCCTTGTTTTAAGAGCTGTTCAGATAAAAAATACCGTTTAAATTCAAAATTGGTTTATTTGTGTAAGATTCTATTCTGCTCTCATCGACTCAATATAGCTGTAATGCAACCTTAACTAGATTTCTATGAAAATCTGAACAAAATGATAAAGAGGCTGGAAAACAGAATAGCGCAAGTTTTAGTTTGGTTTATTTGCTTTAACCATACCTACCAAAAATCATTTGAAATCAAAATATAAGTGTTATTCCAATAAAAAGAGAGGTTGGGTACACATACAAAAATACTCAAATGATATCTAAAGGACAACCAACAGTCTTCATCAATAGACGGTTGTCTTTACAGTATAGCAAGCACTAAATCACCCCGTATGAATGGTATGCGCAAATGTTCGATATCTAGCTTATTGGATTAGATGAGATGCAGAAAAAATGCAAGCGAATTGTAATTCTCGAAAGAAAGTAAAAGTACATTATATATATAGCGGAAATTAAATTTGAAGAATTGTATACAAATGATATAATACTTGAAATAGTTAAAGTGGATTTCTTTTCACATTCAGTAATATAACTTTTAACGATAAGGAAGTGCTTAAGAAGAGAATACTTGTTCTTTGTTCCAATTTTCACTTTGTTTGACGCGTATCGAGTTAATGTTGTTTGTTTCCTATCCTTCATTAATAAACGTATTTGTCTGTCCTACATGAAGTTTCTTTTATAGAAAATTACCAGTATATGGTAAGATTGATCTGATGCAATGTGGAAGTTTCATTCTGATGATTGTTTAACAAAATTGCAAAGGTTTAGGAACACTAAAACTATGAAAATCAATTAACTTGTGATAGTAAATATGTTTTGTTTGTCTTAAAAAATAAAAAAAAATGTTTATGTTTCTTTTGGCGTGTCATATCAAAACTAAGATTAGTTGAGCATGTACTGCTGCTGCTTGACTCTCAGTACCTAAAGGTACCATTCACCTAGTAAAAAGTGCTTTGATAAATGCATAATTAAAAACAAATTAAATTTGACTATACATGTTGTTTTTTTTTATTTTACATGGAAGGAGATTGTATGATCCATCATTATTTCCCAGGAATGGACAGTGATTTGGACTTTCACTAACTTAAATTACACCTTAAATATTAAGAACAAATCTACAGATTATAACATTTTAAGGAATTTTATTTCATTTTGTAATGGTTTCTTTTTCAATTCCCCCGTTTTGTACCCCATAATCCGCAGGCAAAATTTAAGATCAAAATGACCATCTACTCACTTATTGAAGTATTTATGAATAGTAGAATAATACCGATAAAAAGATCTTGAATAAAGTTCGTCCAGATTTTTGTTTTAAGTCATTGGACAGGCACGTCTTTCTTGTAGTGGGATTGAAAGGATATTTATTTGTGTCTTTAAGTGGTATTTCGGGAGAAGAAACAAAATTAGTATTCATGCATATATGTAAATTGATTATGTGTGTTTTTCGTTTGATAAATATTGAATGTACAAATGTAGTCTGAGAAAAATGAAATGGTACAACTAGAATAAATTTCCAGGTATGCAACACTCTAGTCTAGGTTATTTAACTAATAATTTCATTTCAACATTTCAAGATAAACACCGTTATTTGCACTGCAGATATAACGGTTATATTTGCCTATGGACATATAACAACAGTGAATGAATTTGCTTATGTTACGCGTTTCTGTTGAAAATTGAATAAAAACCTCGCTCACTATTTAAGATAAGCCTTATTCAAATGTTATCTATACCCCTCGAATACTATTCATTAGTACTATATTCAAATTATAACAACGAGCTATCAAATAATATTCCGAATACGCCATTTTGACCATTTCAGTTTCTTGAACTATTTATTCTATTAAACCACAATATTATTGTAGAAACTCTCCGAGTATTTTTTCTGTTTTAAATGTATATAGTAAAATGCAACAAACGATTTTTTATGTACAAAAATCAATATACAATATTTTAGATTTCAAGGAAATGATATCTTAAACGGTAAAATTAAGAGCAAATATTTAATTGAAATATTTTGTTCTCTAACTTTCATAATTAAAAGAGGAATGGCTACAATGGAAAATATTCGTTTTTACCCGCTTGGATCCGTGACAGAAATTCAGCCAAGATTTGCATTTGAAAACAAATTGTGGATAATGTTGTTTAATTTTAGTAGAAACGATACTATATTTTATATGATGGAATTACGACTGGCTAAAAAAGCTGTTTGTTGATAATGAGATATTTGGTGTTCATTGTATTACTACGATCTCAATTTTAAAAAATCCAGTATCAACCGTTTTAGTGACTTTTCATCTTCATTCAATATCGCGTTTCGTCCTTTAGAATTATTTCAATGGGTGATTACTTTTTAAGAAAGTACCCGTGGAAATATCCAAAGGTTTAAACGTGCGGATGAATGAAGATGAGCAATAGAAATTAACTCTCTTTTCCTGAAAAATAATGGAGAGTCTGAACAAAAGATTTACATCACAAGTGTATTTTAAGTTATAGAGAAATTCCAAATAACTTTCCATTCCTGTGAAAAAATGGAGCGGATGCCCGTAATACCGACGCCCATTACTTCCTAGGAATAAACAGTTATTTTGACTTTCGCTAACTAAACTTACACCTTAAATATTAAGAACAAATCTTCAGATTATAACATTTTAATGAATTTTATTTCATTTTGTAATGGTTTCCTTTTCAATTCCCCCGTATTGTACCCAATTATCCGCATGCAAAATTTAAGATCAAGATGACCATCTACTCACTTAACGAAGTATTTATAAAAAGATCTTGAATATAAAGTTCAACCAGATTTTAGTTTTAAGTCATTGGACACGCACGTCTTTCTTGTAGTGGGATTGAAATGATATTTATTTGTGTCTTTAAGGTTCCGCTTAAGTCAAATTTTTCTTCATATGAGGCATTATATTAAATGTGTTATTTCTAAGCTTGTTCTTACACTTGTGTCTTAATATTAAGTCCATACATTAACACCAATATGAAGTTACTTGTAATGAAAGGATTTTGGAAAATTTCAAAAAACAAAATACCTAATTCTGATTTTAAAAGATGAAAATTGGACTTTCCAAGACACATTTTTCCAATAAATCCAGTTCTCATGAATAGCACTTTTCCTTGTCCAGGATCGTACAATGTGTGGGTAAGTTTGTATGAAGTACAAGCTAGCATTTAAAATGCATGTTAATTATCTGTTAAACAGTTCTACTAAATTGTTTGACTGCTGTACAAAAAATAAAGGGCGCCATTTTTAAATTTCAATGTGGCGTTGAATTTCCAGAATGCATTAGAAATCCCTAGTTTTGATCCCTCTTTATTATGATTTTTCTTAAATTTAATATTGTATTGCGTGTCCATAACATTTATTTGTTAAATGCATTTACCTTTTTTTACTGTAAAATCAACATTTATTTACAGTTGTCCATACCTTTGGAAACCGAAAGTAGAAGTTAAAATTAATCCGCTGTTTCGAATTAGAGAAAACTCTATAAATAAAAGCAACAGTAGTATACCGCTGTTCGAAAACTCATAAATCGATAGAGATAAAAGCAAATCCGGGTTACAAACTAAAACTGAGGGAAATGCATCAAATATAAGAGGAGAACAACGACACAACAAAAACACAACATTAAAATGTAACACACACAGAAACGAACTATAATATAACAATGGCCATTTTCCTGAATTGGTACAGGACATTTTAAGAAAAAAATGGTGGGTTGAACCTGGTTTTGTGGCATGCCAAACCTCCCGCTATTATGGCAACGTCAAACACAACACCAAAACGACAATATAATATTCAATAATATTGAAATTTTTAATAATACAACACTGGTTTTGATACGAAGAAGTTTATTTTAATATCAAATGCGTAGTTATTAAACGATTTACATAATATTTAACGCTTAACTCTAATACGAAAGCATTATTTATTTCAGATAACTTATATCCGGTTCGGAGAAAAATGGTTGATCAGAGATCACGAAGACGTAAACAAACAGTTTTAATACTTTTTATGGACAATCGGTGAATATTTATAGGTAAGATTATGTGTCATGTCACTTATATATATAAACCCCAAACAAATAACATAATTAATGATCGATCGGAGGCTGTTTGTAAGTACAAGGGATAAAAATAAACTAAGTTTGTGGAATGATTTTCTCTGCACACATGCATTTCCGGTAGGTAATATTTCAATAATTACAAATTTATTTTAAAAAAAATAATGATTTTGAGGCACATATATATAGGTAAGAATGGTATACTTTGACAGGTAAGTAAAAATTATAATTTTCATTAGAGGAACATATAAAACAAAAATCTAAGGAAGGCAAAAGGAAACACTGAAAGGGAAACAGATTGAATTGCAACAATATATATATGAAGTAAAATGGGGAGCAAATACAAGAAAGGTCGCATTTTTGGTAGAGGTTTAGGGAGACACAGAACATTTAAAAGAGTAAAACATTTGGGTAGACCAGTTTATGAAATAAAAAGGCAGAGAAAACAAAGAAAACACATTTTGAAGTTGAAAATACGCAAAATAAACAAACATTTCAATAACAAACCACTGTATGGAAACAAAGAAGTTTATACAACATTCCCAACTGGTTGTGACTTGAAGCTAAAGATTCGAAAAGTAAAAAACAACTTGCCAATTGCAAAGGGTTATCGGGTTGTGAATTTAGACTGTCTACAAGCACACATATCTGATATAACTTTGCATGTATGTTTATGTGCCGGTGCAATAAACATGGCTAAGGAAGGGAAGGCACCAATTAAGTTAGAGACAGAAGTGCGTTCGCTGGGTTTGGCTACTGTTATGTTGGCTCAGTGCATGGGATGTTTATAGAAATTTAAGCTTGAAAGCAGTCCAAAGGACCCAGGATCTAAAAGATATGACATGAATGTACGTGCAGTTTGGGGCAGTATGGTGTACGGCAATGGCCCATCTCACCTTAATGAGTTTTTAGCAACTCTAAATTCCCCAGGGTTATCGCAGCCGTCTTTTAGCGCAATTGAAACAGAGATAGGCAATTGGTGGCACAGCGTTCTAGATAAAGAGATGATGATTGCAGGCCAAGAAGAGAGGCGTCTAGCTATTAAAAGAAATGATTTCCATGAAGAAATTCCGGCAATTACAGTTATAGCAGATGGTGGGTGGTCTAAAAGAACACATTAACATTCGTACAATGCAGCTGGTGGTGAAGCTATAATTATTGGCAAAGAAACAAAAAAATTATTACATTATAAAAATATTGGAAGGGTTTCGTGAGGCCGAAAACAGACACGGACTTAGATATATGAGACTGGTAGGGGATGGGGATTCCTCTGTTTTTGCTAGAATCAGAGAGGAAGTACCAGGTTGGGGACGGTCTGTTTCAAAAGAGGAGTGTGCAAATCACCTTTGTAAATGTTTTAGATCAAACCTAGAAAAATTGGTAACAGATAATCCACTCAATAAAGGAAAACATCACTTGACAAAAAATACTCGAGTTCGACTTGTAGGTGCACTCAGATGTGCGATACGTGTCCGCTCCAGAGATCTAAAGGACAAAAAAAATGATAAATATAATGCCATAAGAAAACTAACACATGACATAAAGAATTCTGTTCGCCATGTTTTTGGCAACCATAGCCAATGTTCTGATTTTTGTCGGGCAAAAAATCAGCAGCTCCAAACTACAAATGAGGATAATACATCTCTACAAATATCTACCAACACATCTGAATCAGGTATTGAAGAACAGTTAATTGACCAACAGATAAATTACTGGAGTGAGGGGGCATCTATTTCAGCGCAGGAACAGGCTCGCTTTGGTACCACGATAGCATACAGTAATGTGGAGCAGCACATCATAAAAGACGTAACAAACCTTTTATGCAGGATTGCTGAAAAATCCGATCGACTTATAAACAACTCCACAACCAATCTCGCAGAAGGCTGAATGCATATCCGAACCAAGTTTGATGGGGGCAAGGTACACAACCTCTGCAATCGTAGATCTTGGCATGCTTGTTGCTATGGTGGGGCTCTACGAATGAATTTAGGACCACAGTGTTCTTGTAAGGTTTGGGAGTCAAGTACTGGTACTGAGCCAGGACATCTTTTCCGGAAATTGTATGCTCGTCATGAACAGACATTGGCCAATTCGATCAGGCACAAGTCTAAACCTAATATTCAACAGGTTCGATGGAAGAAAAAGATGTCCTGTCTCAAAACAAGCACCTTCAAGAAAGCTCGCAAAGCTTATGGTTCAGAAGCCATAGATGTTACTGATGACGTTTCTTCTGATAATCTCGAAAAAACTGAAACAAGACTATTTAAACCTTCATATTCACCTTTCGGAACAACAACGCTTAAACATAACAAATTTTACAATTTTACAATCACAATCTGGTCTTTGGCATTCTGAGAGAAAAAAAAAGAATTAAAGCATCTAATTTTGGATCTATTGTTAAACGAAACCCGTCACTTCTAGCAGCTAAATTTATCCGTAATATTCTATACTCTACATTAACTGGAAATCGTCACACCAGAAAAGGTATTCTTGAAGAAGATACAACTATTGAAGAATATAAATTGAAAAAAGCTGAGGAATCCGAAAATGTTTGTGTTGAGCTCAGTGGACTTCTTATACATTCAACTCAAACCTTCTTGGCTGGAAGTTCAGATGGTTTGGTTTCAACATCTAAAGGAAAATCTGGTTTAATTGAAATTAAAAATTTGTTACATTCCAAACCTATAAATCTTTGGCAAGCTTCGGAAAACAAAAACTTTTGTCTCAAAAATCTGAATGAAAAACTGGAACTTAAAGAAAATCACATATATTTTTATCAATGCCATGGTCTTATCAACATTTGTAACAGAGAATGGATCGATTTTGTAGTTAGAACTTTAAATCCTCATCAACTTTTTATTCAGCGAATTTATCGTAATATTGATTTGTGGGAAAACACCATGTTGCCAAAACTGGAAGCATTCTACAACAAATTGCTACTTCCAGAGTTAGCAAGTCCTCGAGAAGGAAAAAGCCCAGGTATTCGAGAACCTGGAATATGGGTAAGTTGTTATGAATACAATATTGTCTGGAATGAGGTTAAGAGAATACAGATGAATGGAACAAAACTAGACAAAAATCAGGCCAAAAGAAAAAATTGGATGATAATGTACAGTAAGAATAGAGAAAAATCACCTAAATTATTGTATATGAAAATGCATGATATCCCCATTCAGACCCCCTGACATGAAGCATGGTAACCATAAGTAAAATACGTTTGATATACATGTACAACAGTAAGTATAGACACAGTGCATTAAAGCTATTTTTTTTTCAATCAGATGCCTTCCATCGCCTTATATGAGTGTAAGTTGAAAATATGTATGATTTTCATGTTGATTTTCAATTGAAATTCATACTGGTATCATTAAACAATTATGTTCATGCTATTACATGAACGTGTACAAATGTATGTTAAATAAAAATTTAATTTATATTTATATGACAGACATCAAACAATGCTATATAGACTAAGAGATAATGTGTTTACTGGCATATTAAGCATTAAATATTTGATTTGTTGGTGTTTAAACTGATCATGAAAGATAAATTGTCTTGTATCATATATGAATACATGTATTTAAAAGAACTACTTGGTATACATGGTATATGTCAATATCAGTATGGCAAATAAAAATTATTTGTATTGAATCCTTCTACAAATTAAATGGTAATTGCTTGTGAATATTGCATAAGAGCTTATACAAAGATATATGTATATATTACAGGTATATATATATATATTTTATCTTTGTAATAATATATATATATATATATCATAGGCGGTGTTGTTGTACAAGTGAGAAATAAACAGCACATGATCCAGTGCCCCTCTTGGAGGAAATTAAGAATCAGATGTACTCTAACTAAAGCTTCAACACTTTTTGCAGTGCTTTTCAATATCGTCTTCAAATATGTTATATATTTTTTTGGCAAATTTTAATGAAAACTGACACCGTTTTAATACTAAATATTTCATTTACAGTATACTGCATCATTACAATCAAAGCGACCTAGAAGAAAAGAGAAGTAAAAGCTCTACAGAATAAGTTAATGCAAGATCTAAGAAACGAGTATCTGAATCACCCAGCTCATCTGACTCTGATATAGTTGACACTGAACTTCAAAGACTTGCTCCAATTCGCAATAGGTAACTTTATCATTATGTTTGAATATAATATATTTGATATAAACATTAAAAAGCATGATTTATTATATGCCATAAAAGATGTATATAAGTTGTTGACAAAACACATTATTTGCTAAAAAAAAATCTTTATAACTGTAGATAAACTTTTGGTAAAACATTTCAATGAAAATGTATAGAACATTACCATTTATATAAAAAAGCTAAATAGTAAGGTCATATAACCATGGAAACAATGAAGAATGATTAAAATGAGAATTGAAGCTTGCATTCATGAAACAGCAATTCAACAGCTCAACATAACCACCAGCATAAACAACTTTAGGTCATTTTTTTTTAAATCAATGATATTATTTGAAGTCAATAAAATTGAGAATGGAAATGGGGAATGTGTCAAGAGAGACAACAACCCGACCATAGAACAGACAACAGCAGAAGGTATCCAACAGGTCTTCAATGCAGCGAGAAATTCCCGCACCCGGAGGCGTCCTTCAGCTGGCCCCTAAACAAATATATATACTAGTTCAGTGATAATGAACGCCATACTAAACTCTAAATTGTACAAAAGAAACTAAAATTAAAAATGATAAAAGACTTACAAAGGTCAAAGGCTCCTGACTTGGGACAGGCGCAAAAATGCGGCGGGGTTAAACATGTTTATGGGATCTCAACCCTCCCCCTATACATCTAGCCAATGTAGAAAAGTAAACGTATAACAATACGCACATTAAAATTCAGTTCAAGAGAAGTCCGAGTCTGATGTCAGAAGATGTAACCAAAGAAAATAAACAAAATGACAATAATACATAAATAACAACAGACTACTAGCAGTTAACTGACATGCCAGCTCCAGACTTCAATTAAACTGATTGAAAGATTATGTCTTCATCATATGAATATCAGGCACAATCCTTCCCGTTAGGTGTTTAGTATCATACCATCATAACATATATGAGAAGAACATAACCCGTGTCATGCCAACAACTGGTTTTTAAATAAATGTGTTTAATTCCGATGCAAAGACCCTATAAGTGATTAAATATTAACGCCAAAATATGCAATCTTTATTGACCTGACAACAGTATCGTAACTATATCCCTTCTTAATAAAAATAGTAAGACCTATTAAATTTATGAATTGTCTAGTTATAACATGTTTTGACATAAAAAATCACTTTATTCGTTTATTATCATACATTGCTCTTTCTTATTGTACAAATTAAATAATACAGTTTGTGCTTCCTTACTTTTCTTTCAGGAGAACAAGGCTGAGACCAACCAAATTTTTGGGTAGAAGTATCAAACAGGAATGGATAATCGATGAACAATTAGGTAAAAAAGAGTGGTACAAAGGAACTATTCTTTCTGTATTGTCTGGGACTGATGGCAATTTGAATTCTGTTTATGAGATCAAATATGAAGGAGAGGATGAGGCTTATGAAATAAACCATTTAATTCAAGATTACCAGTCTGGATCTGTTGAGTTTTGTGATGTATAGCTTAACTTCAGTTTAGATAAACAGGTACATTACCTAGAAATTATTAATTATACAGTTTGTCATGTTTATGGGATAAACCTTAATGTTACAGCAAACCAACAATAAAATAAAACAATGAATAAAAATAACTAGGCATCAAATCAAGGATTGATTTATTCATAAAGCAATATTCAATGAATGACAGAACAAATGAGTAGTGAATCAAATTATTATACATGTACATGTGTATATTATTGTAATTGAGCACAAGTTGTAGTTTTTTAAATCTTTTACAACAAAAATGAATCAGATTAGTGTGCTTGATAGATATAAGAAAATGTGGTATGAGTGCCAATGAGACAACTCTCCATCCCAAAAAACAATTTATAAAAGTAAACCAATTATAGGTTGAAAGTATATGGCCTTCAACAGGAAGCATTGGCTCACACTGAACAGCAAGCTATAAAGGGCCCCAAAATTTTTAGTGTTAAAACATTTAAGAATATGTGTAATTTGTCATTTAAAAAACTGTGTGACTTTGTACCTCTAATATAAGACCAGTACAAATACGATTCTATTTATGAAATGTATTTTTTCAATTAATGTAACATATAAACATTGTGTATATACACTTATATATGTCTTCATGAAATTAAAACAACCAAATAATTAAGGTGTCTTCAGTTTAATAATAACACATATAAAGGATAAAATAATCTTTACTTATTGAAAAATTTAAAGTTGTCTTTGACCATATTTTCAGTAAATTTGAACATATACATGCATGTGTACATGCTTCATTGGTCAAACTCAACAGACAGTGATTTACTATAATGAATGGGCAGACTGAGCTGATTTTGAGTCAAAATGTAGACTTACTGTTAATAGATGAACAAACATGTTATACTAAGCTTTACAATAAGTTACAATGTGAAAGATTGCTAAAAATGTTATACAAGATAATAAAAATTTTCTTACCTCCAGTTTTATGTGATTAACATGATTATCAATAACTTACTAATTACAAAAGAAATTTGAACACAAAATTATAATGTTGTTAGCCATAGTAGTTCAAGAAAATGTAAAGTTTTTAGCTTCAAATAAATAACTTTGTTTTGTAAACATATACATAATAAAGTTGGAGTGTATAACATGTATAATGTTCACTTTTACAGTCCCCTTTTTCATTTTTGTGCAAAATACAGTATTTTCCCAGTAAATTTAAATGAATTTATTATTAAATGTCTCTACACACATTAATTTATGCTGTAAATATGCCATAAATGAGCATACCATTGATTTATACTAAATGGTCGATTAATGTTATTTTCATCGAAGATGGGCTTCCATACTTTTGTAGGAAAGTAGTTCCATATTAAATATGTCCTCTAATTTTCTTTAACCTAGCAAACTTAATTCTCTTAATACATACTGTGGGGTGTATTTTAACATCAATAAACAGTAGCTTGTACGTCATAAGCTTTTCCTCTACCTTTTTAAATATTTTTTTCAGGATTTTGGGAACTTGAAAAAACAGTAGAATTTTTTGAAGCATAGACTACTAATTTGAAGAATATTGGACCTGTGAACATTTCATGTTGTTTGTAAATGATATTTTATGACAGTACTCATCACAAGGAAGATTTTGATGTATAATATGGTATGCTATATAAACTGAATATGTATTTATTGAACTTTGAAGTTGATCTTAAATTTGACTTTAGCGGAACCTTAAGTGGTATTTCGGGAGAATAAACAAAATTAGTATTTATGCATATATGTAAATGGATTATGTGTGTTTTCTCGTTTGATAAATATTGGATGTACAAATGTAGTCTGAGAAAAATGAAATGGTACAACTAGAATAAATTTCCAGGTATGTAACAATCAAGTCTAGGTTATTTAACTAATAAGGGTGTTCTCGATTATAAGCCATATCGAAAACAAAATGTTATTCTATATTTCAAACCATTCTATCAGATGAAATAAAATTAAACAAGAAAATAGTTTTTCATGCATAACCAACATTTTTTCTTTCTCTTTGCTTATTACAACGAACAAAAATGTTATGCGTTGTTTAGATGAGTCTTAACATGCTTCAATAGCAATTCAAGCAAACTGAGAGTATTTTTCGTTCTTCCCTATTATCAGAGAGGGAGCAAAAAAGTTTAAGAAGTATAAACCCGCATGATAAAAACATTTCTGAGTTCCGTTTTGTATTTTTTTTAACTCAAGTGGACAACTTCTTTTTAATTTCGTTTCAACATTTCAACATTTCAAGATTAACACCGTCATTTGCACTGTAGATATACAACAGTGAATGAATTCGATTATTTTACGCGTTTCTGTTGAAAATTGAATAAAAACCCCGCTCAATACTTAAGATAAGCCTTATTCAAATGTTATCTATACCCCCCCCCCCCCCCCCTCAAGTTTTATTCATTAGTACTATATTCAAGTTATAACAACGAACTATCAAATACTATTCCGAATACGCCATTTTGACCATTTCAGTTTCTTGAACTATTTATTCTATTAAACCACAATATTATTGTAGAAACTCTCCGAGTAATTTTTCTGTTTTTAATTTATATAGTAAAATGTACAAAAATCAAAATACAACATTTTAAATTTCAAGGAAATGATATCTTAAACGGTAAAATTAAGAGCAAATCTTTAATTGAAATATTTTGTTCTCTAATTTTCATAATTGAATAATGTTAATGTGTTCAATATTATAAAAGAATTCAACTTAGTTAACACATTTGATATTTTGTAGATGCACAAAAGAGGAATGGCTACAATAGAAAAAAATATTCGTTTTTACCCGCTTGGATCCGTGACAGAAATTCAGCCAAGATTTGCATTTGAAAACAAATTGTGGATAATGTTGTTTAATTTTAGTAGAAACGATACTATATTTTATATGATGGAATTACGACTGGCAAAAAAAGCTGTTTGTTGATAATGAGATATTTGGTGTTCATTGTATTACTACGATCTCAATTTTAAAAAATCCAGTATCAACCGTTTTAGTGACTTTTCATCTTCATTCAATATCGCGTTTCGTCCTTTAGAATTATTTCAATGGGTGAATACTTTTTAAGAAAGTGCCCGTGGAAACATCCAAAGGGCAAAACGTCCGGATGAATGAAGATGAGCAATAGAAAATAACTCTCCATTCCTGAAAAATAATGAAGATTTTGAACAAAAGATTTACGTCACAAGTGTATTTTAAATAAGAGATAAGCCCGTCTGATATCAGGAATAACTTAATTGAAATTATCCTAGCATACATATTATTGCTTTCGTCGTTTTTTTATTTAAGGTAACCTACAAAAACTGCCAAATGATTAGAAATTGAATAAAAAGAGTTTATTTGATTAAATAGTCTTTTAGTTGTGTAATGATCATATATTTATTAGATATTGTTTTGTGTTAGTAACAGGGTCATAAAGTGTTACCTATGCCCGTTTTATTGTTTTTTTTTTTTTGTCATTCAAAAAAATATGTATACCTTAATGTCATAAATTACGGTAAGCAACCAACCATCAATCATACCTTGTTTCCTGCTGAGGGATCTATCATATACATGTCTGTCGGCGTGCTTCAAGGTAATCTTTATTTGTATTGTTTCTGTATTTTGCAATGTCCAAGTTGGTCATATTAATAGGATTATATTTTGTTACATTTAATGTGCAATAGGTGTTCTTAAAAGCAACGTTATTTTATTTAAAAAATACTTATCCGTGAAATATACTCAATGTTTATCCAAAAGAGAACAGAAAAATAATAAAACCTTAGAATACTCTTAGAGCCGTATAGGAAAGAAGCCGAAGAAATTAACACCTTTAGTATTATAGATAATAGTGACAAACAGATCGATATCAAATAAAAAGATGGACATGTTTGTCAATGGCACGACGTGCGTCTGGAGTACAAAATTTTAAGCCTGGTATCAATAATAAGTTCATTTACAACCACTGGGTCGATACCGTTGCTGGTGGAGGTTTTCTCCCCGAGGGTATCGCCGGCCCATTAGTCTGCACTTCTGTGTTGACATGCGTTATCATTGATATGCTCATACTTATAAATTAACTGTTTACAAAACTATAAATTTAGCTTGTTTCGAACGTCACTGCTGAGACTTTTGTACACGAAACATGCGTCTGACGTACAAAATTTTAAGCCGGATATCTATGATGAGTTTATTCAAATCCCAAGGACATACATGTGAGCAACTACGTATAGGAAATTTTATGGCCCTCAACAATGAGCTAAAACCATACTATATAATCATTAGCTATAGAGAGACACAGGATAACCAAATGTAAAACAATTGAAAAGAGAAAACTTAAAGAGTTATGGGTTTTACTTATTGTTGAAGGCCGTACGTTGATCTATAGTTGCTAACTTCTACGTCATTTGATGTCTGGTAAGGAGTTTTTTCATTGGGAATCATACCACATCTTCTTATTTTTATATAAACAACGAATGATCCGTAGGAAGATTAATATGCTTTCCCCTTCAAAATACTTACACTTTATTGAAAGATGTGTTTGCGGTTTTTTTTTTTAATTTCTTCTTTTCCTTTAGGTTTTCCCGTATTGTGTTTTAGATTTTCTATTTTTGCAAATGTCTTCCACTACAGTTGCTTCAATGATTTTCTATGTAGTTAAATGTGAAAAGAATCCTCGAGATGTTCATACAAGCCATTTTGATCATAGTTGCATGTAACTTTAGATTATATTAAAATGCAAAAAACTGATACCATATCTTCAAATAACAGATCCAGGAAAGTACTTATGACTTATAATCTAAAACATAAATAGTATTCCATCATCGAAAAAAAAACAATAATCCAACAAAAAATATTTATTTCTTTCCTTATTATTAGTTGTTGTGTGAAGAATATATTGACTATATGAATTCTTTTAAAACAATAGTTGTCTTTTCATTATATTGGGTGAAGACAATCAGCAAGATCGTTATCCCTGTAAAAGAATATCAATCTCTGTCATAAAAGTACATCAAAAATATTGTAAATGTAAAGTATTATTATATGTTTTCGTTCCATTCGATTCGTTCCCCGTTTTGCTAGCAGCATCAAACGGCAGTGATAAATCTTTCCAGACAATTGTAATTTTTAATCAAGTTTAGAAAACCATCATTGTAAGGCATGCAGGAAAGTGTTTCTTTTTTATTGCAGATTCTGAAAGATATTTAAATTTAGATCTACAAACATAAACACAGCATAAAATGCACCTGATATTACAAAATATAACGTGAAATGTACTCGGGGACCTTTGTTAACATATATTTTTACCTTCTTATACTCAAGAACTTTATTGTTAAGGTAATTCTTAGAAGCAAACAATGTTTATCAATGAGAGAGAGAGAGAGAGAGAGAGAGAGAGAGAGAGAGAGAGAGAGAGAGAGAGAGATTTCGCCAATATGTTTTGTCTGTCTTTTTTTACTAATGATTTTTGGTTGTCGCCTTGGTATTTTATGCTTCTTTTGTGTACTGAAAAACAGACAAATCGTATCGGTCAACCAATTTGTGAGGGTGACCTCAACCCTATGTATTGTCGAATGCACTGGTATTTTCTCATAACCCTGTTGGTGCAGTCTTTTGTGTCATGAGCACACCTCTTGTAATGCATTCCGTATAATGTGAACATTTATGACCGCAACGTGACGATTCAGATATTTAAACGCCATTCAATTAGGCAGAGGGTATATTGGAAAAGAGAGGCTAAAGATACCAAAGATACCAAAGGGACATCTTAATTCATAATTAGAAAATTAACTGACAACGCTATGGCAAACAACGAAAGACACGAAGACAAACAACAATACAAAACACAACATAGAAAACTGAAAACTGAGCAACATAAACCCCACCAAAAACCAGGGGTTGATCGCAGGTCCCCAGGAATGGTAAGCAGATCCAGTTCCATTACTGTGAGAAATGGAGAGATGGTAAAGTAAAAGATGAAATTATCACGTTTTATAGATTCCAGTGTGAAGTTGTCCGTCAGGGTCAATATCAAGAAGATGTCCAGATAAAAGCACACTTTCAAGTTTCGGTAGTATCTTTGATTTCAAGTTCACTGTAATATATGAGATGCATGCACTGATTAAAATATGGGTAATTGAGTTACAGAACATCATTAATATATCTGAGTGTCAATTTAGAGATGATTGATCTTTTTGTCTGTGAGTAGTTCTTGTATTAATTCTGCTTCATACATTCGAGTACAAAAATTAGGGTTACACAATAAGTACGCATTTGTATATAGAGAATCGAATCTGTTGAAAAACCAATCCATCAAACTCAACAAATATGTTGAGAATTTTTACTATTTTGTCTTTGGCTAATTTGTGGTTGGAATCAGTGTGGTTTTTCACAAAGTAAGATTGTATATGATATCTAAACAAAGAATATGTGCCTCCGATTCATAGTTTCTGTAAAAAGCATCAATTGTGTAATAACAAACTTTAGTCGATGTTTCAATTGAGCATGATAATAGTAATGTATACGTAGAGGGTAGAACATTCAAAAGATGTTTTTGCAAAATTGTGAATAGTGAATACAATTTTTTGGGTAAATCTTTAGAATTTTTTCACACATCGGCTTAACGACTCCAGTTGAATATACATCATTACATTAGTATTAAAGGCCATTCGGTAT